CGGATCCAGCATCTTCGCAGATTTTGCTGATCCCACTCCACCACAGTGGTGTTTGTTGACCCGTTCAGCAAGATGGTGCATCTCGCTGCTGTCGCAGCGGAGGTGATCTCCGAACAGACGTCCCGTCTGTTCGTCGACATGGTGTTCAAGCACTTGGCATGTCCAGCGCCTTTGTGTAGGGTCGCGATCCGCGCTTTACAGCGCGTTTCTAAGAAGAAGTGTTCACACTTCTTGGAACGCAGTTCTCAATGTCGACTGTGGATCATCCGCAGACGTACGGGTAAACCGAGCGCGTGAACCGCGTGCTCCTAAAGGAACACGCAACGCATTTCTGCGACGTCGTTCGTATATGACCAGCCGCGCCGCCAGCGTCCTGTTCGTCTCGCGTGGACTTGCTGAAGAGCTACGCCCAGTACTGGAGCGATTATTTGCCGATGGCCGAGTTTGCCATCAACAACGCGGTGCATGCCTCGATTGTGCATACACCGTTCTTCGTAAACGCCATGCGGCATCCACGCCTTCCGATCATGCTCGGGCCTCGGCTTCCAGCGGCATAGCGCTCTCGAGTTTTCCTGAGAAGTCGGACGCCAGCCCCTGGAGGTGTTCCCGCACCTTTTCCCGAGAGAGCTGGTTCCGAGCTCTCGGGTCCTCGGATGTCCGCCCCGGAGTAGCCTCGACCCGCATCGATTCCCCGAGAGCGCTAGCCACGGGCTCTCGGGTCCCCGAGTACCCACTCCGGGGGAGGCCCAGTTCCCCTAGAACCAGCACCCGCAGCTCCCGGGGATTACCCGGTAACTCGTATCGTCCCGATCAACTGCAGTCGGTAGAGGAATTCGGGCGATGAATGTGGGTCAGACGGGCGATCCCCCAAACGTCGGGTCCATAGTGACTCCAAGTCTCCGCATAGTGAAAACCAGTGTTTAGCTTATCTTAGGATTAGCACTTGTCGAATTGTCGCTACAAATCAGCGACGTAATAATTCAGTCTCACGTTTCCCTACTATTGTGTAGAGCTCGTTTCTTCGGCTTCCCGAGAAAGCAAAGCGTCAACAATCTAAGGAAAAGTTCGCGGCCCGGGGGTCCGCGTCTTGAGACTAACTCCCCAAGGTAAACTTTCACGCTCATTTGTCAGGTGCGCCTAAGAGGACATCAGACATTCCATATTGCTAATCCTGGAGCGCGGTCTGGCCGGCGCGGAGTAGGCACTTTATATTCTCAGGGTCTCGCCCTCTTCTAGGGTCTCGCCCATTACTGACGGCCGTCGCCGGTGGAGTCTCTCTCCGAAAGACACAGAGTGTATATTCTAGTTGCGTATTAATCTCTCCCCCGGGGCTCAGGTAGTGCCCCCGGGAGATTGTTTGTAAACTACCTATCTGGCGTACCTATAAGTCGGGACCTCCTAGGAAGTCCTCAGTGATTGACTTTTCCCTGATCCAAACAACCGTTTCGAAGGGGGTACACAAGGTGAGGTTATTGACCGGCTTCCCGGGTCTTACTCGTCTGTAGCAAGCTTCCCCGGGAATCCACGGCCCTGGGCAAATCCCCCGTCCAGGAGGAGCCGTCTATCCACGGGAACTTCGGTACTCACGCTCTGATCCATTGGTGCGTACGCAAATACCCACTTGCGTCGTGGCCCGGGAGAAAAAGTTTCAAGCGCTACATCACATTCCTCCTTAAGTGAAACATTTGGCGGGGACCCGGGGACCCATCGGGACCCCGGTTCCCGCAAAACTACCGGGTATAAAGTAAGGTAAAAGTATATTATGAAATTTAAGAGAGCGTCCTATGTCGAGGTCGGCTTCGGTTTAGTAGAAAAGAACTGAAGAATAGAAGGTTGATTGACCTTCAGTGTCGTCTTCTTTTTCTTCGGTCGTCCTGGGCGACGCTTGCCTGGGCCAGAAACTTTGACTGACTGCTCTTCACCTTCATCTGAAATCTCCGGTGCATTCAAACACCTTCAGGAACGGCAGGATAGTAGTCCAGATACTGTTGAGGAATAGAGAAGTATTTTGCAGACAGCGATTTAAGCTTTTTCTCCGGTAACTCCTTGGTTTGGTGCCGCGGAAGCTGAACGTCTCTAATAGATGCCTCCCAAATGCTTTGAATTTGTGATCCAAACAGCTCTGTTATGAAAGCCTTTCGGGTACTGGCCAGGGTATCACATTTTACCATCGAAAATGTAATTGACTCTTCGTCGGGTGTACTAACAGTCTTTCGTGCGGTACATACTCCGTCATCAATCTCGAAAAGGTAGTTTGCTGTGTAACCTGCTGGAGGTGCGGTGAAGTATTTTTCCAGTAGAGTCCCCCATTCTGTGAAAAAAGGTCTCAAAGAATTGTTATGGTCATGGAAAACCCCTTCTACACTGTTGATCTTGTTGATTTCTTCGACTAAACCACCGGGTGGGTACACATTTTGTTTCCTGAGGGCACGGCGACACCACGCAATGACGCGATAAAATAAAAATAAATAATTCACGATTTGGTTGGTATGATTTGGGGGGACCCGGGTCCCCGCCAATGGTTTCAAGTGGGGAGGGATCTATGGTTGCGCTCGAACAACCGCAGAATACAGCTGATACGGATCTATCAGCTGCAATAACGCGTGCGAGAGCGAGAGCGAGAGCCCGCACACGACAAGGCGACGTGTCAGTGCCGGGCACTGACACTGTGAAGAACCACGAGCAGGCGAAACCTGCTTCGATCAAGGACAACGTGTCTGTGCGGGGCACAGACACCGTGAAGCCTCACGCACAGGCCGGGCCTGTTGCACGCACAAGTGATGTATCGATGCCCGGCATCGATACTGAGAAGCCTCACGCACAGTCTGGGCCTGCTGCGATCACACACGATGTATCAGTTCCGCGCACTGACACCACGAAGAGCCACGCACAGTCTGGGACTGAAGTGAACACAAGTGGCGAGTCTGTGCTGGGCACAGACGCAATGAGCTGGACCCGGGGTTCAACTCTCAAGCAATGGACTTTGTCCAGGAATGATAAGCTGTCATTCGGTTTGTACATAATGCAATTGCAGCTTCTGCGGATAGGAAAAAGCTGAACGCAGGCAATGTGAGCAGGGGCAACACAAATGAATTCGAAGTGGGTTCATTGGTTTTGTTAGCTACTCAAAACCTGCCTACGCATGCAGTTTCCGGATTATAAGCAAGCAAGCTTGCTCCGTGCTTCATCGGACCGTTCACGGTGGCTGAACGATACGGCAGTGCATACACGTTGGAACTACCTTCCGACATGAGACTCCATCCAATGTTCTACGTTAAAGGCGCTTGAAGCCCTACGTGCTGCCCGAGCTATCTAGCCGTGATAATTCGCCGACGGCGACGCGCGGCGCGACTTCAGCTTTTCTTCAAGCTTCTTCATCTTCTCCTGAAGAAGGCGAACTTGTTCCGACATCTCAACACGGATGTTTGAGGTGGTCTGAGCGGCTTCGACCACGTGATCATTCTGGAAGTTCAGTTGCTGCTTCAGCTCAGCGATCTGAGCAGCCTGGACATTTTCAAGAGCCTCCACGCGAGCGTGGAGCGACTGAAGACTGTGGTCAACTTGGGGTTGACCATATGATGAACGTCCGCCACCGCCGACAGAAGCATAACTCTGTCCGCGATACGATCCACCGCGAGGTGGATCGGATTGATGACCATACCAGTCCGAAGCCGAACCGAGGTATGGTTCGTTTTCGTATTCACTAGAGACAATCGACTCTCCTTCGAGATTCACAGTTTCTCTGTGACGTCCTGATGAAGAACCTTCCGGAAATGGTGAGGGAGTACGAAGCCCACCATGGACTGAAGGCGTAACACTGCGGGGCGCAGTGTTTCGTGGAGTGATGTGGATGTTGCCGCGTGCTTGCGCGTTGAGCCCGAAGCTCCTTAATGTTTGCATGGTCGTGTACCTGGTAATGTCTGTCTCGCTGATGTGGGGAGTACCAGGAGTACAGTGCGGGCAAGGTATGCCCACAGGCACTACACAAGGAATACCCGCGTTCACCGAACCTTCGTGAACGCGTTGGACGACAGAAGTAACGGAGTACTTCATGAAGCGCTCGCGAGCTGAAGCAACTCTATCGTGATATGTGTTGAAGTTCTAAACAAATTGATTCCAACTTTGACAGAGTGTCTGCCACTCGGGACTCTGCTTCGCCCCAAAGACTTCTTCGAGCTCCAGTACCGGAGCTCGTGGAAAAGCGAGATTTAATAAGTTCGCATTTGATGCGTCATCGGGTCAAAGTTCTTTGACGCAGCTTCAGCGTCGTCGACAATTCTGCTGACGACGTACCACGGTATCACGTTCCGAGAAATCGTGCGTCCGTACCGTGCTGTAATAACATTTCAGACTGTATCCAAGGATCACACACTGAGTCGTCAGTGTGCGGGGCATCACCTTGCTCCGACGGAATAACAGGTGGATCCGGCGTAATAGCTGACGGATCCGAGACGATGGCAAGTGCTTCCAACGTAGAAGGCACTGCATCACGTACGCTTCGCGGACGCTTCGAAGATGAAGCGTCTGGTTCATCTTGACGGACGCGGCGGGTCCCAGCCGCAGGCTTGGAGTCACTTGGCTGGGAAGACGAGGTACCCTCGTCTTCAAGCTCTCCCTCTTCGTAGTCCACGGGGATACCACCGTCGGTCGAGAGGACCTACGAACCATCGAAGGCATGCGTGTCTTCGCGGCCCCAGCGCGCTTCTTCTCTTGGAATTCGAAGTACTTGTCGACAGAGAAGGTTTTCTCTGTCGTATCACTTCAGAGTGTCGGCGTTACCGCCGATACAGGCACCGACACGGAGGACGGTGCGGACGCAGGATCAGACGCAGGCGTCGACACTGAGGCCGACGATGACACTGGTGAAGACGCAGGTGTTTGCAGAGGCGTGCTCATTGTGAAATGAGCGCGGATTTCCCTCGGAGACTTGACGGTCTTGTCAAGGCTTGGATTGACGTGCTGGTCAAATGTTAACGGGGGGTGGTGTAGTGGGGTTACACGAAACTCTAACCATAACGCTTATCGGTTAGAGTTAGAGATTTCACGTCTTGATGCGTCCGCACACCAAGACAGTATTTGAAGGGATCCTATTGGTAGAGTGCGCCACACCTCTACCAATCCGCGATGCGAATCACTGCCAGCCATCTGCTGACAGTCCCTTAGATATTCGATAAACAGTTCAGGGAGGAAACCTCCTTAAAGCAACAATACAGTTCTCATTTTACGCTATCGCGCTCTTATCTTGTCTACTCGTACACAGGCATCGTGTGTACGCTAAGCAAGCTAAGAACACCTACGCTTCCTCCTACACGTGCGCAAACGTGTAAGCTAACTAGTGAGCCCTAGGCCTACTACAAAGGCTGACACGTGTCGTCAGTGAAGGGGGAGCCAAGGGCATACTGGTGGAGACTGCCTGTGGTTGGGTACCACGCGGAGAAGGGCAGATGCTAAGGAAGGGGGTTGTAACCCAGACTACGCTAACCTAGACTACCGAACCGTCGCAGAAGACAGAAACACCGGACACGCCATCACCAAGGCTGACACGTGCCGTCAGTGA